ATGTATGTATGTATACATGTATGTATTTGTGTATGTATGTATGCGCGCATGTGTATATACATATGTATATACATATATGGGAGAGAGACATCGCTATAAACATATATATTCAGATGTAGATGATGTACGTTTTGGTATCGCGACACTTATACCTACTATTCATATATATATATATATATATATATATGTTCTATGCATACTATGCTCCCTCTCTCTCTCTCTCTATATATATATATACATATATATCCTTAAGGTTTGGGGTTTATAGGGCCTAGGAACTTGGGGTTTAGGTGCAAGGTATTATGATGTCTTATGCTGATGAGTTAAGCGAAAGAAGCGTCTTAAGGATCGACTTACATTATGAGGGAGCCTCCGAGGACGGTGTGCTGGAGCGGCTTTCCGAAAAAAATGAAAAACTGAACCCCACTCCTGCAACACGAAAGCTCGAAAAAACCGCAAGCCACAACCCAAAAAAAACCAAACCCTGCTACAGCCCGACAGCTCCATATCCTACATCTAAAGCCCCCAAAAGCCCCCTCAAGCCACCAAAACCCCAAAACAAAGAACAAACGAAAGCCTAAATCCAGAGAGCCTCGGTGCACTTGCGAATCTTGTGAGACACTATCCCTACATTCCGTCGTAAAAATAAAAAAGCGTCAGAAAACCCTGCCAAAAGCTCCGTAATGCAAGGACCAAGTCCGAACTATCCAGGGCCCCCGCCGCTGATTCAAACCTTTAGGGTTGAGGGTACTATGGGGCCCATGGGTAAACCCATGAACCCTGAACCCCCAAGCCCTGAAGCCTGCACAGAAGCCCTAAACCCCACAACCCTAAACCCTAAAGACTTGAACCCGAAACCCTATAAAGACTAAACCCTAAACCCTACACCCAAGAACCGAAGAGGAGAAAAACGAAATGCCTCGATCTTGTGGGTATCCAACTGGGCCGCCACGCAATTCAAGGCTGCCTCGTCTCTTGCCAGCTTCTAGGGTTTAGGGCTTGTAAGGTTTAGGTCTTTACCAGGGTTCAGCTTGCCACTTAGAGACCCCCAAAATTCCCGAGTGCTCCGGGAAATGATGGGAAAGGAAGCAGCTCTGGCTTTCTGGCCATCCCTTTTCCAAAGGTTTAAGGTTTAGGGTTTAGGGTTTAGGGTTTAGGGGCCATCGGTGCGGGTATGGATCCGGGGGGGTGGGGGAGGCCTACAAAACACTGTTGGAAGATCATAAAGGGCGTCTGTGATCTCGCCGCGTGTGCAGAGAAGCTTTCTTAGCAAAAGCACAAAGTTGGAAGATCCGATTCCGGACCAACTGTTCGGTTTAGGGTTTAGGGTTTAGGGTTTAGGGTTTAGAGCTTCCAAGCCTTCGGGGTTCACTGTAGGATTTATTAGGATTTAGGGCTACATGCTTTGTGCGGATTAACCCAGAGCTGAAGAAAGGATGGGATAAGGAGACTGGGCAAGACCTGCAACAATGGTTCTTTCTACGTATGTTCATGCAAAATATACCCTCAAACCTATATAAACGTTGAACTCAACCCTAAACCCTAAACCCCTAAACCCACACATTGATCGGGCTTAGCAGTTCTTCCAACGAACCGAAGAAGGCTTCAAGAGCAGGCTTCTGTAGAGAGGAAGAGGGAGAGCGGATCCCTATAGTAGTCCCGAACTAGCCCCTTACAGTAGTTCCCACATTCGCTCCGTCACTCGCCTTTGAGCCTTAAGCACCCACAAGTTTCAGGAAAGCTTTGAGTCAATGAGTCTACACTGCGAAGTTTGGGGTTCAGAAAGTGGGACTGCAGGGCATCAGACTGTCCCCAAATCCATGAACGCTAGACCCTACCTATAGTCTGCATTGTAGTTCCTTTTTGGGGATGCCTTATAAACTCCTTAATATATACGTGGTTAAACCAAAAAAAGGAACTACAATGGAGACTGTAGGTACAACTCCAAAGACCTGCCGGCATGCACCTTCGAGAAGAAGCTCATCTGCGCAAAGTTGGCGATGCTCTTCCGCGCCTCCATACGGGTTGTGTCACCCTACCCCTCCAGGTACCTACTATATGGGGTACTAGAGCCCCTAGGGGCCCTTTATAGTAGGTACCTGGAGGGTTAGGGTCACTCAAGGATTCGTTCAGGAGAAACAGGATTGAGGGAACACATCAAGACCCCATCCGTGGCATAGTGCCAATGCGCTTTATTATAATACAGTATACCCATAGGCCCTAAAGTAGTTCCTTTTTGGGATTACCTTACAGGATTCTAAATATGAACCCCAAACAGGAACTACTATGGGGCCTATGGGTAGCCCCAAGCCCCGTGACAGCAAAAACTTAAACCCAGTCTAGAGTGTCTAAGCCTCTTTTCGTGGATCCCCAAAACTGGCAGGGTTGAGGGTTTAGGGTTTTTTTTAAGGTTTAGGGTTTAGGGTTTAGGGCTCCCTATCCAACTCTTGACAGGAACTTATCGAGGATTCCTCCCTAAACACCCTGTATAGGAACCCTTATTATACGAAGCTTGGAAGGAACCAAACACTAGACCTTAAACTCTAAAGCTGAGAAACCCGAAAATACAACCCTCAAAAATCCCTAACCTTGAACCCTTAAACCCTATAGAAGGCCCTCATAAACCCTGAAACCCTCAATGCCCAAATTCGATCTGCATATCTATATGGATGTAAGGATACCTCTCTATATTCTTTCTTTCGGTGAGCTTGGAGTCCAGGGGACGCGCTCCTTGCAAACTAAATTCGAGGTGAAACGGTAAGGCCCTAATCTCGTGGCGACTCGAAACCAAGGCCCGAACGCCTGAAGCCCAAGTCGCAAATCCAATTGGCGACCGGCTGTAGGCAGAGCAAAGCGCGCGGGGGCGCAGAGAGGACGACGGGCACCCGCACCGACGCGGCGAGGAAGTGGTTCACAGTGTCAACCGCGGCCCCAAGCCAAAGGAGATGACGTTTCGCTGCTGCCAGCGGAACACTAGTTTGGAAGGGGTAGACAAACTGCGGCAGGGGCGGCTCCTCAAGACGGAAGGTCGCCAAAACTCCGTCCACTCGGAAGTCAACCGCGCACACACTGACGGGGAGCAGGTCCCGGCATGCCGCCGGAGCACCGCAGCCACGACGGGCGGAACGGAAGTCCTCGCACCACAACTCGGGGTCAAGCATAAGCTCCGTGTCGGCCGCAACCTCCCTTACCTGATCGGTAGCATGTGGGTGCCGTGCCCATGATTGAAGAGTGCTCTTCAAAATGGCCAGGGGCTCAACATACTCAACAACGATCTCCCAGACATCCTCGGGGCAGGGACTCGCAAGATCGAGCAGTTGGGCCAGCAAACCTGGATGAACCTGGACAGGATCGTATGAATCCTCTGCGCGGGCCGAAGCGCCGGAAACCTGCAAAGGCGGCCTCTGTGAGTGCGGGATGGCCGGGATCGCCCCATCCACCACAAAGGTACCCCAACGGGTCCGACAGCCCCCGGCATGCAAAAGGTGTCGGCGCAGCCTGTGTGCGTTCGCAAAGAGCTTGCCGCACCCTGCGCAGAGAGGCTGCTCCTGTTCCTTCGCAAGCAGCGTGGCTGGTGCTCGATAGCCATGGCATTTGGCCGCGTGGACGGCCCACGTTGCTCGCGTGGGGAAAGCCACCTTGCAGACCAAGCATGCCTCAGTGTAGGCAGCGGGGCGATCTTCGCCAGTGCGATCCGGGCCTTCTTGCACCCCTGCTCTGGCGAGGAGTGCCTTTCGAAACGCCTGGAGGTTAGCGAAGGCTGCAACGCGCACGCATTCGAGGGCACGGGCCCGCTTGACAATGCCTTTAAAGCGGCCGGGCCGGCGCACGATCAAGTCATGCCAATCGTCCCAACTGACGTCGGGCTTGCCCAGCTCGGTGGTGTTGGCAACCCAGGAATGCAACCACCAGAAGGCATCCTGCATGCAAGTCATGAACTGAGCGTTGGGCCTGAGCAGAGCCCACAGGATGTCCGGTCCATTGGCAATGAGCTGCCTGGCATAACGCAAGCGTTCAACACGCAACAGGGTTAGGGGGTCCGGCTGCTGCACCAGCGCACAGATCGTGGCAAGGCTAGCGTCTTGGGCATCGTCATGCGGAAGGCATAGGCACTGGCGGTACATCGGAGTCACCGCACGCGCAAAGACTTGGTATTCACCGACACGCAAAGGACCCCAGGCACCTGCCCCAAAGAGCAGTTTAGAGAGTACAGGTGCACTCAACAGTATACCTTTTTTGGCAACTGTCAGCCTCTTAGACCTATATACCTTCGTTCGCCCTTGCCTGAACGCTGTCCATGCAAGGGCGATCCGCTGCTTGAGCTCAGGCATCAGCGAGCTGTCAGCCGCGACCCTAACCCCTAGGTGCTTGTAGCTTCTGACGAGGGGCAGCATGGCGGGCTCGTCCTCCTCGCCTTCCCCGAAAAGAGCTTGCATCGTGCAGCGCGAGCGCCCTTGCCTCGAAGCTGCACGACGGCGGCCGTTTTGGCCTCTCCGAAGGACAGCTGGTATCCGTGGCTGTGGAAGGCGTCGCGTAGGGCGGATGCCTCAAGGCCTAGCATCCTCGCCGCATTGCCGGGCTGCGGTACCCCCAAGTACACAGCCAAGTCATCGGCCCAGACTACCTCGTCCAGGTTGACGAGGCACGTGTCCGGCCCCGAAAGGCACGGCCCAACAAAGAAGTCTCGGTGGCCGTCCCATAGCAGGCGGATGGGTTCACCGGCACACAAGGCTCCAGCACGGAGAGCGTTTCTTGTGTCGACGATGCCAGGCACTGAGACTCCAAAATAAATATCCGCCCAGGAGGATCCTGGGCGGGATCCACGCGTTGTTACAACCGGCTTATCATCATCCCTCAACGTCATCCAAGTCCTGCTATTGAACTCGTCAGTCAACCCTTCCAACCACGCCGTAGCCCCGCCCGCCGCCAGGGCGCTAGGAGCTTTTAAGCGTTCCCTCAGGGCCGGGTTTGCATCAGTCGGCGTCTCCCAACCGGCACGCCTGGCAGTCAGGGCACGCGTCGCGCTGTAGTACGCGGCCGACACATCGGCGAAGAGGATGACCGACGAGAGCGCCTGGCTGGCACGGAGTTGCAGGAAAGCCCGGCTCACATGCGATCCGAACAAAACGGACGTGCGTTTCAGACCGCCAAGTTGAACTGGGAGAGCATGACTTTGGAAAAAGTCGTAAGCAGCAGGTCTGAACGCGCGGTGCATCGCTTTGGCGATTGTTGATAGCAGCATGATCGCGCGGTAGGAGCCGCAGTCGCTAGTGCTACCCCGCCCCTTATACAACCAAGTCAGAGTCCCCGACTTAAGCCCTAAGGGTTCTTGCACGCACAACCCTATCTTCAGCATAAGCGGTAGAAGCGCCCGCTGCCACGCGACCGGATCAGCTCTGCCCACCTCTGATGGCAGACCGTCCGGGCCGCAAGCGCGACCAGTTTTGGCCTTCAGAACTGCATCGAGGAGGTCAGATGGTGACGGGAACTCGGCACAGGATATACTAACATCCTCAGGGAACGCAGCCGGAGGGAGGCCAGCAACTTCCTCCAGCGGCATGCACTTGCCCGCCTCGAGTGCACTGAAGTGTTGGCGCCAGCGGGCAATCGCATCAGCGGGGTCCTGGCAAACCTGTCCGTGCATGTCCTTGACCTGAGGCAACACCGTGGGCCCACAACCGCGCTTTTTGCGGGAGCCCAAGAGCTTCTTAAGAGACTCGTGCGCCTCCTCATTGCCTGCCTGAACATCCTCGGCCAATGAAGCCAAGAAGCTTGCCCGATCGGCTTTGCATTAATTGGGCACGCAAGCTCTTGGCTGCATTCTGCAGCCTAGTCCCCAGACCTGCCTCTGCAACAGCTGCGGTATGCAACCAGCCAGAACGGAGCTGAACGTTGAGAGGCGGCGCCTCCCAGCATCTCCAAGTTTGAAAGGCCTCTGCTACACTATGGAACCTGATGGCATAGCGCAACCGTGCCAGGCTACGGCGCAGCTTGGCAACCCCACCCTGCAGGGCCCAGGCAGCGTCACTAAGATAGGCTTGCCGTTTGCGCCGCCCTTCAGGGGGAAAGGCCTGCTGCAGCCCTTCTTGCAGTGTGGAGACAAGAATCGCTGCATGGGCGTCAGGGCCCACACTCCAAGGGATATCGGGAAGTTGGCTCAGGGTCTGTGAAACCTTAGCTCGCCCCTCAGGTGTGAGAAGCTCCCTAGCACGAACCCTAAACCGTGAGGAGTTGGCGGCTGGGCGTTCCACTGCAAGGCGCAGAGAAACGGATACAAGTGTGGCGAGGTGATCCACCACCGGTTGACCGGCATGGATAGCCGGATCGACCCATGATACGACTTTAGACGACTGCCAGTCCTTCGGCAAGGCGATGTAGTCTAGCCTGGACGTCGCCTGGTTACGTTTCTGCACATACGTGCCGCTGGGGCCGATATGCGACTCTTGCCATGTGGCAGGAAGCCACAATCCATGGCGATGCAAGGTATCGTGCAACGCATCTCCGGAGGCGTCCTGCTCGTCGGCACGCCATGGTCCAATGGCCTCTGAAGGAATCGAGCCGACAGCTGCATTAAAATCCCCCATCAGCACCAGAGGGGCAAGGGAGCCAAACTTCTCGAGGAGATGACTCGTCTCACGCCACCACGAGTCCAACAGATGCGGCTCCGCCCCCTTATGAGGCGCATGCAGCGAGGCAAAGATGAGATCCACAGGGGTAGCCACGAACCTAACCAGAAGCCTTCTCGGATCGGCGTGGATGACAGTGAAAGCCGATTTGGAGAAAAGGGCGGGACTACTCGTTTCTCCTGCACCCCTGGGAGCCTTCGAGGTGCTGCTAAACCACAACTCGACTCCAAAGTTGCCCCGCATTGCTCCGGAGCAAAAGCGGTAGTATGGAGCAGTGAAGAGCTGCCCCTGCTCGGTGCGGGCCTCCTGTAGGGCAGCGACCGACACCTCTGCATGCCCAAGACTCGCCGCCAGAAGCGCGGGGCGGCCGGCAGCAAAGGCAAGCCCCGCGCACTTATCATCAGCAAAGGACTTGCCGCAAAGGGACAATACATTGTAGGAGGCAAGCACCAACGCCAGGTCCGCAGGGGCGCCTGTCGGCGTAGCAACGCCAGTGCCATGCCGAATGAAAGGCTCCAGACATTGCACAGGCGTGAGTCCACCATCGGCGGTGGGCTTTGCATAAGAACGCATCGAGGGAAGCGAGCCCGGCTCTCTCGCACATTGAATTGCTAGGCCGGCCCAGTCAAGTGCAATACCGCTGCTTTCCCACCATCGCATTCGACCAGGGACCTCCCAGCACCACGCACCACAAGGAAAACCTCTGGCGGCAAGCTTGGCGGTGACATCGGCGATTTCATTGGCTAAACAGCCCGCATGCCCTGCCACATGGGACAAAGCCGGAGGAGAACGCGCGGCAGCACGGGCAAGGGAACTAATCCTACGCAAACAACCTGCCACCCCTACACCTGACCCTGGCACCAGTCCTGCAGCAATCTGCATAGCTGAGACACAGTCGGCTCTGATTACTGTATGAACCTGGCGGAAAGTAGTGGCACAAAGCCATTGTGCCGCAACAAGCGCAAAGCATTCGGCAGTGAAGGCAGACTGGACGTCACCTTCCGTGCAAGACCAGAGTGGAGCCCCGCCCGCAACCACACCGAAACGCCTGTGTGTGGTGTCCAGAAAGACACAGGACCATCCAACCTGCGCTGGGGCAGAGGCTGAACCTGGGGTGTAGGATCCGTCCGTAAAGCAATGCAGGCCTGAACTGAGCAAGTCCGACGCCTCAAGGCAGAAGCCACTGAGCCTCTGCCATGCCGCAGCGCCAATGGCAGCCTGAACAGCGCGCACATCGGCCAGAGTGCCCGGCGGTGTCAGTAGCTCAAGGAGGTCTGCAGCTGCAAAGGGCAAGCGAAGCCCGCCCAGAGACAGCGGGCCATCCGGGAGGCCATTCAGTTCCTCAGGAAAGTGAGCAAAATCGCCAAAGCTTTGCCAATCTTGGATATCGGCAAGCCTGATACAGTTACCTGCCTCTAGGGGGGCCAGTAGAGATGAGTCGACCTCCGTAGGGACAAGGGATGCAAGGCAGAGCTGGTGTCGTCGGCCGGGCGTCCTTCCAAAGACCGCTCGTCCTCGAAAGTGCTCCACAAGAGTTTCGAGAAGGGTGCGCGCCAAGTAGAGCGCCCTGCAAGATGGCTGCCTGGCGGATTCCTGGAGGAGGGTGACGTGCCCTTCTTGGGCATCAATCCAGAAGTCTATAATGTCAATGGGCCCTCTTCTAACGTGACCGGCAACCAAGCCTTCGATGGCCTGGTACTGTTCTGGCAAACGAGTGCCCCGGCAAGGCGTGGGAACAGGTCGAGCCGCACCCGGCCGAGCCTCCAGGCCGGTACGCCCTAAAGGGCCCTAAAGAGAAGGTAGGTTCGCATTCAGCAATCAAGGTGCTCTCGCCACCCAAACAACGATCCAGGACGAGCAGCCACCACAAACCTCTGCCTACAAAACCCGGCAGGCGGCCGACGTCAGGCTGTGCGCATCTACCCTGTACAACCCTACAAGTCCGATCCGCCACAGCACTGCAGTGGGCACCACTGCCCTGGAACGAGCCCTGGTGCGCGCCTCGCTGCCCCGTCGACGCGCCGGCCGCCGCAGTAGGCGACGAAAAACTGCCTAGATGGCAGCGTGGCGCGCCTTCCTCATCCGGCTCGGCATCAGAACCTGCACCTGGGCCTTGTCTTGAGGGCATTGCACGGCCTACGGAGGCAGGGCACTCCCGCATCGTCATCTCAACCTGAAGGACCTGACCTGGACTGCAGAGGGCATAACCGTTCGAATCCCGGCTTAGGGAGATGACAGCGTGCCATGGGCAAGGGACGACTTGGTTCAGGGAAGCCTCAAGTCCGACAATGTGCAGCCATCCTTGTGCAGTCTCAACACAAAGCCATCCTTCCGCGAGGACCCGGCAGTCCACAAGAACAGGGTAAGAGTGCCCAGGCGGTCGAGCACCCCCAGAGTCCGATACGGCAATGACCGTTCTGCAGGGCCAGCCCAGCCAGGCAACATCGGCCTGCCCTGGGCTAGCTGGCGAGATAGTCAAGGTTTGGGCACTAAGCCCC